TAAAATTCAAGCAGAAGTTATTCGATAATTTAAAATTTGTTAATAAAATGTACAAATATCCCAAATGGAAAAAAGAGAAGAAGAATCAAAAATTTTAATGGATCAATTAAAATTCAAGCAGAAGTTATTCGATAGTTTATTTTCAATTATTTATAAAATATTTCAAATGGAAAAAAGAGAAAAGAAAAATTTTTCATTAAATAAATTAAAATTCAAGCAAAAGTTATTTAATAGTTTAAAATTTGTAAAAAGTAAATAGAAAAAAAAATTTTTGTTATTGAATCAATTAAAATTAAAAAAGTTATTCGATAGTTTAAAATTTGTATATATAATATCTCAAATGTAAAAAATCAGTTTTCTTTTTTAATTAAGAGAGAATAATTAGAACTGCACTTTCTGTTATTGATAATTTTCGCGTCAATAATGATTAAAAACTAGCCATTTAAATTTTAAAGGGAGAGAAGCTATCAATTTGTGGTATAAAAGTTGAAGAAGAAGGAAAAGAAAAAAAGAAAAATTGTCGATGATAATAAAATTTAAAAATGAAAGTTGAATCACATGTGTGTTTGCACATTTGACCAATCAAGCGACATGGACCTATTAAGATTTAATATTAGAATTTCTACATTCACGCTAACTCGCAGCCCTGACCTACTTTTCTTAGGAAACTTTGAACATTCACGGTTTAATACTTTTAGCGTTATCTTTGTCTTGAACCACGATGCATGAGGTCAATATTATTTTTGCATGACAAAAGCCACAGATGTATTAGAAGAAAAGGGTAACAATTGTTATTCTAATAATAAAAGATCATGCGATCATGAATATAATCAGTTTGAAAATATGTTTGGAAAATATTTTCGTTTCTTTTTCATTTCAAATTCGATAATGTTTTACGATTGTATTATTAGACTTGTACATTTTTTGAACTAATTTTATTGGTTCACTAAATAGTGATAAATTCTGATTAGACAAATGAAAGTGCATTTGGGAAAATATTTTTAATTATCAACTGCTTTTTTCTATTTATTTCTTTATTTTTAGTTATTTTTAATTATTTTTCTTAATTTCTTTATTTTTATTTATTTTTCGGAATTAATTTATTTTTATTCTTTTATTTCTTTTATTTACTTATTTTCATTATTTTTTTATTATTATTGAGAATCTATATTCCAGTTATTGCCATAAAGTAGTTAAAACAAAAAATTTTCGATTGTCAATTAAAGAAATTAATGATTAATTATAATCGTTGCATTGTTTTGAAAAAAAAAATTTCACTGCAGGGAGATATTTTGGAATATCATTATTAAACAGTGTTTCAAAATTAAAGTGGTAGATATTTTCGCTTTAGAGAAGTTCCCAATGTTTTGAATTAAAAAATTAAAAGAAAAATAATTTTTCAATGCAAATGTTTGTAAGAAAATTATTTTTATTTGTTTTTGTATAAAAATAGTTTAACAAAGTTTCTTGATCGAATATTTGCAGGAAGAAAAATTCTTAAACAAAAAAGGAAAATTTTCTTTAAACAAATGATTTTTTTTTGTGAAATTTTTTTGATTTTATTATCTCAACGACTTGAAGGAAAAAAAATATTTTTCTGACTAAAATTTCTTAAAATTTTGTATAAAAGGATTTTATCAGTTTTCTTGGTCCTTTTTTTAAAGAAATTTTTTTTATTAAGTCGTTGATAAAAAATCTTAAATTTTTCACTGGGAAAATAATTTGTTTAAAGAAATTTTTCTTTCTAGAAATAGTGCATTGAGAAAATTTATAAAAATGTTGTTTTACAAAAGTGTATAAAAAATCTTTGCTTAGAAAAATATTTATTTTTTTAAATCGTTGATTATAAAATATAAATTATTTATAACTATTTATAAATTCATAACTATTTTTGATAATAAAATTTTAAATTGTAAAAGAAAAATTGAATATCCGAAAAATTAATTTCGTTCATTTCAACTTTCAGATTTCGTTTAAAACGAATTATTTCTTTCTTCCAATATTTTGTAAAATTATTGTTCTAAAATGCAAAATAATGAAAAATTAAACACTATTTTAATAATTGAAAATTAGTGAATAATTTTCTAAATCTGAAAAACTACATTTTTTTGAATGAAATTGAAAAAATGAATAAAAAATATTGTCGTTCATTTGAACGTTCAAGACTTTAGGGACAAACTTCGAGAACTTTAGTGACATAAATTTGATAAAATTCTGTAGAGATACAAAAAATAAGAAAGAAAAAAATAAACGAAAGAAGTAAATAAATTAGCCGCTTTTAAGGGAAGAAAATCACAATTTTTCAAAGGGGGACACAATCAAATCTGTCTATAAAAAGAGTTTTAATGCTAAGCTTTGAACCGAAACTTTAAACTGATACGCAAGCGGATAACGGAAATTTACAAACGGAAAGTGAATGTGTTTATGTAGCAGTTTTTGAATAGTCGAAAATTTATTGCCTTCTGTAAACTGGTTATTAATCGGAGCTAGTTTGTGTGGTTTGGAATTTAGAAAACTAATTTGAAAAACTATTTTTTTCCCTCTCCTTCGATATGATAAACGTTTCAACTTATATATAAAGACAGAGAGAGAGAGCGAAATAGATCAATTATTTGTCAATTTTTATTTTGACTTTAAAGTGATAAAAATTGAACGCATTTATAAAAAAATCTTACATAAAATTTTCGTAGATAAGAAAAAGTATTTTAAAACAAAAATAATTCCTAAATGTTTCTTTTATCTTTTCCATTTTCATAAAAAAAAAATTTTTCTTTCAAATTTTTTCTTTTTATAAAATTTATGTCAAGCGATATTTTTAATCTCTAGAAAAAACTCATTGGTTTAAATTTTTATTTCAGATTATTTTCAGTTATCAAAAATTATCATTTTTGGAACAATTTCTATTCTGAGAATTTTCATATTTTCTGTGCGCTTTAAAAAGCAGAATTTTCTCTACAATTTTTGCTTTCTGCGGAAGTTTCAATTTTCTTTCTCTGAAAAAAAAATAAAATTACAATAAATCTGATACCAAATAATATTAAAATAAATCAAGTTTAAGTAAATTCCAGTTTCAAAATAAAACGATTTTTGTTTAGTATGTCAAGAAAATAATTTGAAAACAATACCGGATATTTTTTCTTTCATAATAACTTATTTTTACAAATCGTATCTATTGACAGTTAATGAGATTCCAACCCAATTTCAAACGTCATTTTAATTATTTTCTAATTTCCCTTTAATTGACTTTTAAGTTTTCTTTCTTTTTTCTAATTTCCGAAAAACTTACGGATAATTTAAAAAAAATTTATTTCGGTTTTATTTTCAAGAATGAAAAACGACAAAAAACAATAAAAAAAAATAGAAAAAACCAATTAATTGCAGATAATTTAATCGAGATCGTTAATTTCTGCTATGGTTGCAAACAAGATATCTTTTTAATTCCGATAAGACAAATGATAATATCAATCAGAAAGTGCAGGTATTGAAAATTGTGCAAATTTTTCTTTACTCTCGTAATTAATAAATCCGTCAATTTAATTAATTAATTAATTCTTTAATTTATGAATTTAATTTTTTCGTATCAATTTTTTTCCTTTCCTTTCTATTTTTTTCGCTTCAATTTACAGTGGAACCTCGATTATCCGAACCTCTGTTATCCGAAACCTCTATTATCCGAACCGAAAATCATTTTATCCGAATTTCTATTATCCGAACTTTTTTTTGGCTATCCGAATTTTAAAATTTATTTTCTCTATTTATTTTATTACTTATGTTTGTTTATGCCAAAAAAGTCTTAAAAAAATCATATATTGTGTTTTATTAATATATTATTATAAATTAATATATATACTTATATATCTTTGAAAAATGTATTAAATTAAATATGTACATATAGTTCAACTGTCCAATTTTTTTACTTTAATTATGAAAAACATTAAAACCTCTATTATCCGAATTTTCGATTATCCGAATCAGGCCGTGCCTAGGTTAGTTCGGATAATCGAGGTTCCACGTATTTCCTTTTTTTTCGTATCAATTTTTTTATTTTATTTTTTTCGTATCAATTTTTCTATTTTCTTTATTTCATTTTTTTCGTATCAATTTTTATTTTCCTTTTTAATTAAATTTTTTCGGAGCTACTTTTTATTTTGTTTGTATCGATTTTTTAATTTGTACTTTTTGCGTACCAATTTTTTATTTTATTTTCCTTTTTAATTAAATTTTTTCGGAGCTACTTTTTATTTTGTTTGTATCGATTTTTTAATTTGTACTTTTTGCGTACCAATTTTTTATTTTATTTTTCTTTTTAATTTAATTTTTTCGGAGCTATTCTTTATTTTATTTGCATCGATTTTTCAATTTTTACTTTATATAGGTATCAATATTAATTTATCAATTTTTATTATTTTTTCCCTATCAATTTTTTTATTTAATTTTATTCGTAATTTTTTATTTTCTTTTTTAATTTAATATTTCCGTGGCAATTTTTTATTTTATTTGTATCGATTTTTTATTTTCTATTTTTTTCATATTTGTTATTCCTTCTTTTTTAAAATTCTAATTTTTAATTATCATTATCTAATTTGAATTCCAATAAATCTTGAATAATTTCAATAAAGCCGCACTAAAATGGAATTAATTAGGAGAATTAATCAATTAAATTGATCAATGAATCTACAATTATTGAATTAATTTCATTCTGTACATTTCTTTCTATATAATTCTTTCTTTTTCTATTTATTTTCTAGACACGGTAGTAAAATATCTGAGACGAAAGAATTTTCCCTAAACATTTACGACTCATTCCTGTATCAATATAGTGTTTATTGAGAGAGAGAGAGAGAGATGTTTCTCAACTAATGAGAATATTTATTATCTCGAAAAGGTCAGTGCATCTTCTTGACTATTGAAATCTCAAATGTTAATTATTTGGATTTTTTAGTGGAAAATAACGCTCGAGGCTAATCTTTTTTAATGATAGAATATTGACAAAAACGTACCACCATAACAGACAGTTGACATTCTTGGCATGTTGATATTCATTTTTTTGTTATTTGTTTTCGATGATCAATAATAAAATGCAAATCACAGAAGCAGTGGTAATGCCGAGATTGATGGTGAATAAAAAATGTTCCAGAATAAGGATACACAAATAATAGCGATCGAATATGGTGGGCTAGATCTACAATAATAATTAAAGTATATCTTGTCCTTGCATTGATATTCTTTCAACGTCTTTTCACCAATTTTTGAGAGTTGACAATTATTTCTTTGTTCCACGTGTACCGATATGCGAACTGCATGCTATTATATAACATTAGCACACTCCAACATCGAGATGCTGGATTGATTCCTTCTGTCACTTTTAAAGATGCCAGTATCACAATATTCACTTAATGGCCCATAAAAGCCATAGAATGCAAACTTTTATTTCTGAACAGACCCCACGTTTTCTTCTTCTCCTTTCTTTTTTTTTTTGTTACAATCTCAAAACAATTTTTGAGATTCAAGTCCTTTTTTGTTGTCCCTCAATAATAAATGTTGTGACATTTAAATTACAAAGGTCACGGCACACAAAAAGAGGGAAATATTTCCTTTCTGCCCTCCGAATGCTTATGGAGATGGTATCAATTGAGTTGAATGATAAGAGAGACGAACTCCAAGTGTGATGTTAATTGGGCACTAAACTTGTACACGTGGCCGAGGGAGAGAAGGGAGAGGACACGTGTTGTGAGATGATGATGATGTGACACACACGAAACTCCTTTAAGCGGGATCTCAACAGGAGAGTTCTTCGAAGACAGTCGACGAGAGACTAACTCACAATTCGAAAACACACTGTGCCTGCCAGTCACACTCAGCGACAAGACAACTTGACAACTTCTTGTCGACCTGCGAACAACTGAGGAGAGGCGTGTTACCAATATACATACACGATTTGATTTGTATTGAAAAGACGTTTTATGCGACTCGATTTCATACACACAATCATTGAAAGAGTTGTTCTCTCGGGGGAGCTTATCTTTGGACTTTCCCTCCTCTTCATCTTCCTCCTTCCCTCGTTTCTCCTCTATAAGAGAGACAACATTTTCCCTTTCCTCCTCTCCTCTAAAAAACACGTCACATCCCCTTTCAGACTCCCATAGAGGTTAACCAGTTTATCCCACTCTCTTTTTTTTTCAACCACACACAGGAATAAAAAAAAATGATAATGTACCTCTAGTTTTGTTTGAGAGTGTAGAGACTGGCACCTTTGGAAAAGCTCGCAATACAACTAAAATTATATATTAGTATTAATTTGTCAAGTACATATCGATATTGTACGTATAGGAAAATATCTGGTTATACCCGTTATATAAAATATCGACAAGTATATTGCTTTTAATACTTAACAAATGAAATGCTTCTCATATCTCACGCCTCTTGTTACAGTTCAATCGTCATATTTCTCAACTGATACTAATGACATGACAATCTAGAAAAATTTCCCAAGTAGATCGAAACTTCCATTTATTGAATAAATCGACGGAATTCCTTGCCTCTGTTGCAACATAATTCTCGCAGCTTTTTTTTATGAAAAAAGGAAATAAATTTGAATTATTACACAAAAAATAATTTTTCCAAATAGTAAATCAAAGTTTTAAGTTTTTTGGTTAAAACACGATTGGAAAAAATGATACTATTTCCCTTTTTTTCCTCCTCATACGATTTTTTTTCACCCAATCTCAATCTCGATCAGAACTGAACTTTTAACCCTCCCAAATCTGCTGATGGTACCATATTCGAAAAATGTATTACTTTGATAAAAATTAAAATGATAAAATCGCATCGGATTTCTATATATAGTTTTAAGTATACAAAATAAATTTTTCAATTTTTATGCAAGAATTAAATTACAATTCTAGGCAAATTAGAATAATTCAATAATTATGTGCAAATCATAATAATTCCTTTATGTCTAAATCACAATAATTCCTATGTGTAAATTGAAATTCTAATTAAAAAATATCCATTAGAGTAAGATTTTAAATATTCAAAGAAGCGAAATTGTTTTTCTAATTATTTTCAAAAATTACTATATTGAATTAGCAAAATAATGGACGATGATAAATAATAATGTAATAATAATTCGGTGCAAATTACAACAATTCTGTAAAAAAAATCGCAATAATTCAATACACGGAGAGAGAATATATATTAAATTTTGTAAAAATATTTTCAAATTGGGGAAAAAGTGCGACAAAGCGAAATTTTGATATAAAAAAATACTAAACTTTAAAAAAACTTATGTGAAATTTAGTAGGGGAACATAGTCTAGGTCGGCCACCTTTTTGACTTTTGTTTATAACTTTTTTTTAAAAATGAATTTGGACAATTGAAGTATATGGTTGGAAAGTCCTGTTTAATAGGAACATTTTTTCTGTACAAAGTAAATTGACAGGTTTAAAAATGAAAAAGTTATAAAGATTTAAAAAAAAAAAAATTTGTAGTCCAGGTTGGCCATTACAGTCAAGGTCGGCCATGTTTAAAATTCAAAGGGCATTAATCTTTAAAAAATAAAATAACATGTTTGGAGTTACGGAAAATTGATTCTTTATTGTTTACAGTTTGTAACTTAATGAAATAACAAAATAATAACAATAAACAATATAAAAAAATAAATATAAATAAAAAAAAGTTTTGCACTAAAATATTAATAAAATTAAATAAAAATATTAATAAGATGATCAATTATATTATGAGTTATACAAAATTGCAGTTTTTGCAAATGAAGTAGCTCGTCCTCATCTTTGCGCATTTTAAACACATAGTGGCCGACCTTGACAGTAAGTAACATTACCGAATTGTTGTAACCATAAAGAAATACGTTTCGGGATTCGATTTTTTACTTTGTTTTCCTTTCAACCATGAGTCCCACAAATTTTCTGCATACTTGCTTTCACGATTCAATTTGTTTTTTATCTTTTATTAATGGTTTTTCACATTATGCACAAAACTTTTTTTGAGCTTTTTTTGTACCGACGTCACAGAAAACACAATTTTCGATTTTCCGAAAATGTAATTGAACAAAAAGTTAGGTTTCACTAAGACAAGCTTCGACAAAAATGCGCGTAGGTGGCGCTAGTGAACTTGACAAAAAAACGCGAGTGGCCTACCTAGACAGTAGGCCAACCTTGACTACATTCCCCTATAATTATATCAAATATCAAGAATATTAATTAAATTCTAATATAACTTTACTAAATTTCATATAAGTTTTTTTAAAGTTTAGTATTTTTTGATATCAAAATTTCGCTTTGTCGCACTTTTTCCCCAATTTGAAAATATTTTTACAAAATTTAATATATATTCTCTCTCCGTGTATAAATAAAAATTCGAATTAAAAAATGAATCATTGACTGAAATTTTAAACGTCTAAATCACAAGTATTCAGGGTAAATAAAAATATGAGGCTAAAGTCCGCAACGTTTTTAAAAACGCAAACAAAAATATAATGTGAAGATAAATTTTATTTTAGCTTCAAATTCAGGATTATTTTAACAACTGTCCTTTAAGTAAGAAATGATTTTTTCAAAAAATTTATAGGCATTAAAATTAGAGATTAATTTAAATGAAAAACAATTCTTTTCTGATTTTTATTTTAAAAAACGTTGCGGGCTTTAGCCTCGTAAGAAAATTTTAATCAAAAAATATTCTTTATACCTAGTAAAATTTTGAATATTCAGAGGAAAGAAATTTTTTTTCTAGGATTTGAATATTTTCCAAAAATTACTATATTGAATTGCAAAGTATTGTAAATTCAACGTTTACTTTTACTTGGAAGAATTAATTTTTTCATGTAGAAAATAATATTTTTTAACAAAATATAAACTTAAAGTAGTAAACAAAAATTTACTTATTTATTTTTTTCTTCTTCAAATTAAATTCTATTGCAATAATTTTGAGTCTCATAAAAAAAATGAATTATAAAGTTTCTAATTGTTAAATTATTGTTTTTAATTTTTAATGTAATCAGTAATTTTTGATAATATTTTTGGTGAAAACTATTTCGTTCATCTGAACGTTTTAAAACTTGGGGATCAGCCCTAAAGATTGTACTATTAAATGAACAACGATTTTTTTACGTTTCGTAAAAGAATTTTCTTAAAAAATATTGTTTTAATTTAGAAAATTAATTACTTTCTATAAATGTTGAATTTATTTTATTTTTAATTTTATTCCTGGTAGTGATTTTTAATAATTATTAAATAGAAAAAAAAATTTGTTTTTGATCGAGAACTTGAAAAACAAAATATTTTTTTAAGCAAATTTCCATTATATCAGTTTTACAAATTTTCTTGATCCACTAAAAAAAACGATTTTCAAACAAATTATTTTTCTTGAGAAAAATTTGTGATTTACCTATGCTATGATCAACGATTTAAAAGAATAAATATTTTTCTAAACAAATTTCCATAAAATTTAGTATAAAATCATTTTTATAAATTTACTTGATCCACTATTTCGAAAAAGAACAATTTTTGTCAAAAATTCTATTATTTTCTTTGCGAAAAATGTTAAAATTTTTTTTATCAATTATCACAAACGTTGTGAATTTTATCGACGTTTGTCACTGAATTAAAACTTGTCTAAAATTTCATAAATTTTCGATTTTGAAATTAATTGTGAATTGTGAATGAAATTATTTTCTTAGTTCCAAATACTGAAAACAATAATTGTAAATTCATACAAATTTAAAAGTGGGTGTGTAATATTACGTAAGAAAGTGACAAAAATTATTGTTGAAAATTCATTAAATTAATAAAACATTAGGGCTTTATTTATAGATATAAAATATTTTAGATAAATAAGAATTAATTAATTCTATGACGCGCTATATTAAAAATAAAAAATAAGATTAAATGAGAACTCAATTCTTTCTTCCAGTAAAAAATTATGAGACTGAAGTCCATAACAACTTCCAATTCAAGTTATTTTTAGGGAAATTATTGTCCTTCAAGAAACAGTTAATTTCATCTTCCTACAATTTTAACGTTTAAATGCAGAAAATTTATTCAATTTTGTAATTAGAAAAAGATTTATTATTTACTTTGCAAAAAATATAAATTTTCTCTAATCGTCGATCATAAAAGTTGGAAAATTCCCAAACTGAAATTTTTGGAGCTTTATTATCCTAAAAGTTTTGAACGTTCAAAAAACAGAAATTTTTTTTCGCTTTGAAAATAATTAAAAAAACCTATTTTTCTGAAATAATAGATAAAATAAATTAAATATTTTTCTAATTAAAGATTAATTTTTAAATATAGAAAACATTAATTTAGAAACTTCATATAATTAATATTTTTTTTAGTGACGCAAAATTATTGTAATAAAAATATAATTTAAAGAAGAAATGAATAAATTTCGTTCATTTGAACCTTCAGGACTTTAGGATCATATTTTTTAAATAAAATTAAAATTGAACAAAGTAACAAAAAAATTACCAAAACAAAAAATTTAATATTTAAAAAATTAACAAAACAAAAAATTAAAATTAAATAAAAATAAAACTTTTAATTTCTTAAAAAATTGTTCACATCAAAATAGAGAAGAATTAACTTGAAAAAAAATATTTCATAAGTTCTGAACGTTCAAATAAAAGGAAAAATTGTTCTCTGTATAAATATTTTCAAAAAATTACCAGGTGGAATGAAAAACAAAAATTTAAATTAAATATTTAGAGATAATTTATTTTCATACAAGTTACGAAATAATATAAGAATAAAATTTGAATTTTGAAAATGAAATAAAAAAATTTCGTATTAATTTGAAAGTAATTTTAGGGATATAAAAAAGTCATTTTTAATTTTTCTTTTTATAAAACTTTGCGTATTTCAATCTCGCTTTGAAAATAATTATTTTACG